ATCTAGCAATAAAACATAGAAACACAGGGAAAAGACTTGAAGCATCACATAGGAACTAGTAACATATTATTTCTTCTTACTTCTCTGAAACTTTTGCATACTGTATCTTCAAGAATGTTCTTGAAACCCAATAATTCAGAATAATTATGAATGAACAAAATAATGATAAAGTAAAATAGCAATACTAGTAAAATAACCACATCTAATTATTTTTTTTAATTCAAAGATTTTAGCATTAAAGAATTCTAAACATCCTTGTCATGTATGTATAGTATTTGATAATCATCAAATTGTCAATAAAATGTCAGAATATTACTATGGCTACATTAAAGATTTTTATTCTTTTTCCATTGTGTGATTTCCCATTATTTCAGAGTCTTTATTATTAACAATGTCTCTTGTTAATCACTGATATTAACAGTGCACTCAAAAGAAGCATTGTCTAAGAAAGTAAGATGAAAAACAAGGAGAAACTGCAAATAGAAAGCAGAGGAGAAGATAGAAAGTAAGTAGATCATAATGGTTGAAAACCATAAAGGAAGAAAGAAAAATACTGCTATTTATTAATATTTACTCATTTGAAATATATTTGACATATAACATTGTATACGGTTAAGGTATACAACATGTTGATTTGATATATTTATGTATTATAATATGATTGTCATTATAATGTTAGTGATGCTCTTTCTTTTTTTAAGCGTATTTTGGTAACACTGGTTAATAACATTACATAAAGTTGAGGTGTGCAATTTTATAATAAATCATCTGCATATTCCATGTGTGCTCATCAGCTAAATCTAGTCTCCTTCATCACCATACATTTGACCCCTTTTACCACCTTCATCTGTCTCCCATCCCCTTTCCCACTGGTAATTACCATACTATTGTCTTTGTCTATCAGTTTGTTTGTGGATTTCTAATTGTTAGTTTGGTACTTTCTGTTTTATATTTCACATATGAATTCTAATTATGCTACAAATCTACAATAATCAAAACAACTTGGCATTGGCAGAAAAATAAACACACAGATCAACAGAACAGAATTGAGAGGCCAGAAATAAACTCGTGTGTATATGGGCAGCTAATTTTTGACAAAGTAGTAAAAAGCATACAATGGAGAAATGACAGTGCCTTCAATAAATGGTGTAGGGAAAATTAGAAAGCCAAATGAAAAAGAATGAAACTAGACTGCTGTCTGATACCCTACACAGTAACTTACTCAAAATAGATTAAGACTTGAAAATAAAACCTGCAACAATAAAATATATAGAAGAAAACATGGATACTAAACTTACAGAACTTGCTCCCAAAGAAGTTTTTGTGAACTTGACCCCTAAAGCAAGAGAAGTAAAAACAAATAAATGAATGAATTGAACTATATTGAACTAAAAAATTTCTGCAAAGCAAAAGAGATCATCAACAAAACAAAACAAAGTTATGCTATTTCTTGATTAATCAGTTTGAAAATGAGTTTCTCCTCATAAAAGATATAAAGATTTTAGCTTTTTACACCTCTTTTTTCTTCTATCCTCCAAATAAAGTTTTATTTCAATTTTTGCATAGTTTTTGAAAATTATTTTTACTTTATTTACAAAAGAGTTACAAAAATAATATAATTCCTGTATGCATGTACTCGCCACCTAGCTTCCCCTAATGTATACATCTTCCATAACCATAATCAAATTTAAGAAGTTAACAATGGTACAGTACTATTAAGTCAACTCCACACTTGATTCAGATTTCATCACCTTCAGCACTAATATCCTTTTGCTGTTCCAGGATCCAATCTAAGGAACTACATTGCATTTAATTTTCATGTAGCCTTAATCTCTTCTGGTTTGTGACATTTTCTTAGTTTTCCTTGTTTTTCATAACCATAATACTTTTGGAAAATACTGGTCAATTATCTTATAGAATGTCCCTCAATTTTTGTCTGATGATTTCTCATGATTAGGTTGAGGGAAATTACTGCAGTACATAAAATACTGTGAAAGCATCAGACACTGGTGAATGCTAAAATTAGAGATGAAACTTTAAGGAAAAATATTTGCATAGTCCCAAATTATCTCCCCCAGGTATATATTAATTACTTTGATATTTTTAGGATATGTCTATAAATTGATACACCTCTCTGCAAGAGGTGGAATTTAATTCTTCTGTTGAGTATGGGATGAATTTAGTTATTTACTGCTAATAAATAGCACATGGGAAGGGAAAAATAGTAACTTTACAGTGGAGAAATCTGGCAGATACTACCTTAATTTAACTAAGTGATCAAAGTTAACATCATCAGTAAGTCATACACATATCATATCCTTCCTATTATGATGTGATGAGAAGGGCCCAGGACTAAGGGAAATGTGAAAGAAATGTAAGTGTGTTTTCAAAGTTAAAAGGTCCTATGATTCCAGGTAGACTATATGCACAGACTTTTAAAAAAAAGATTAAGTATTACCCAGTAAGTTTTAAGATATATATACTCAGGTAATAGATAGCTATATATTTAAGGTATAGTTATTCAAAAAAAGAAAGGAACACAAACAACTTTTTCCTAGTTTACCTGACCTACACTGAAACTATTCTGGTTCTAGTGGGCTTAACAATTTTTCTAATTAAAACACTACAGTGCTTTTTAAGTGTTCTTTTCTTTTTGCTGCTCTGATTGAGGGTTTTTTCTACTTTATCTTCTAATTCACTTATCCTATCCTCTGCTTCATTGAGCATCAGAGAGATGCAAATTAAAACCACCTGTCAGATCGCTACCATCAACAAATGAACAAATGACACCTGCTGGTGAGGATGTGGAAAAAGGGGAACCCTAAGTACACTGCTGGTGGGAATGCAGACTGGTGCAGCCACTATGGAAAACAGTATGGAGGTTCCTCAAAAAATTAAAAATGGAACTGCCTCTTGACCCAGTGATCCCATTTCTAGCAATATATCCGAAGAACCCTGAAACACAAATCAGAAAGAAAATATGCACCCCTATGTTCATAGCAGTGCAATTTACAATAGCTAAGATCTGGAAACTGCCCAAGTGCCCATCAGTAGATGAATGCATAAAAAATCTCTGGGGCATTTACAACATGGAATACTATGCAGCTGTAGAGAAGAAGGATATTGTATCCTTTAGGACAGTATGGATGGACCTGGAGAAAATTATGCTAAGCAAAATAAGCCAGGCAGAGAAAGACAAATATCACATGATTTCAGTTATATGTGGAACCTGAACACAATAATCTGATGAACAAAATAGATTCAGTGATAGAAGCATGGAATAGACTGACAAATCTCAGAAGGAAGGTGGGGGTGGGTGGGGAGAGATTAACCAAAGAATTTACATGCCTATATGCATAACCCAAGGACACAGGAAATGGTGTGGTGGAGACCTGGGGTGAGGAGTGGGGGTGGGCTAAGGGGGTCAATGGGAAAAAAAGGAACATCTGTAATATTTTGAATAATAAAAAAAAGACACTACAGTGGCTTTGTGCATGCATTCTAATTTTAAGATGGTACATTAATATATGAATATTTATATTAATACAGCCAGAGTTTTTATATCTAAATGTTTTATTTTTTTAATTTAATACAAACAGCTGAATAAAAATTACATATGATGGTCAATTCCAAAGACCTTCTGTAACTCAAAAGTAAGTTTAGACATAGGGCATGTGATTTGGTTTATCTTATAAAATTTCTGCCTTGTTGTTTACTTAATAGGAGCCTTAGGTTGCTCTGCCTTGTTGTTTACTTAATAGGAGCCTTAGGTTGCTCTGCTTGAAGAAAAAGCATTGCCAAAACTGAGAAGGGTGCACACTGGATTAAAATTAGTAAATTACTCACAAATCTAAACACATGGTTTGATGGACCAGATGCCCCAATATTGTTAAGGCCCAGAGAGTGTACCGTTTCTCATTCATCTGAAGATTCCTGTGTTTTATGTATTTTGTTGGAATAAGGATTATATTGTCCTTGTAATGTGTGTTACTTTGAAATGATGAGATTAGCATACAAACTTTCATATTCAAATCCACTTTGCAGGTTTGAAATTAAGAAGTAATAACACTGGGTCAGAAGGCAGTTCCATATTTAATTTTTTGATGAAACTCCATACTGTTTTCCATAGTGGCTGCACCAGTCTGCATTCCCACCAGCGGTGTACTAGGGTTCCCCTTTTTCCACATCCTCACCAGCAGGAGTTGTTTTTGATTTGTTGATGGGAGCCATTCTGACAGGTGTGAAGTGATACCTCATTGTTTTAATTCGCATCTCTCTCATGATTAGTGACTTTGAGCACTTTTTCATATGTTTCTTGGTCATCTGTAAGTCTTCTTTGGAGAAGTGTCTATTCAGGTCCTTTGCCTATTTTTTAATTGGATTGTTTGTCTTCCTTTTGTTAAGTTGTATGTGTTTCTTATATGTTTTGGATATTAACCCCTTATCAGACATGTTATTGGCAAATATGTTCTCCCATACAGTGGGCTCCCATTTTGTTTTGTTGGTGGTTTCTTTTGCTGTGCAGAAGCTTTTTATTTTAATGTATACCCACTTGTTTATTTTCTCTTTTGTTTCCCTTGCCCTAGGATATGTACTTGCAAAGTTATTGCTAAGAGATTTTGCTGCTCATGGTTTCTTTTAGGATTTTTATGGTTTCACAACTTACATTTAAGTCTTTTCTCCATTTTGAGTTTATTCTTGTATACCATGTAAGTTGGTGTTCTAGTTTCATTTTTTTTGCACATACCTGTCCAATTTTCCCAACACAATTTGTTGAAGAGATTGTCTTTACTCCGTTGTGTATTCTTGCCTCCTTTGTAAATATTAAACCTGAAACACCAATCAGAAAGAATATATGTACACCTATGTTACATTTATACCATAAAATACTATGCAGCTATAAAAAAGAAGGATCTTTTACCTTTTGAGACAGCATTTAGGAACCTGGTGAGTATTATGCTAAGGGAAATAAGCCAGTTGGAGAAAGACAAGGATCACATGATCTCACTCATATGTGGAATCTAAAGAACAAAATAAATTGATGAATAAAATAGATTCAGAGGCATAGAAACATAGAACAAACTGATGACTCTCAGTAGGAAGGTGGGGGTGGGTGGGTGGTAAGACATTAACCAAAGAACTTATATACATATATTCATAACCCATGGACACAGACATGTGTCCTGTGGTGAAGGCCTGGGGTGGGGAGCTGGTGTGAAGTAGACGGGGTCAATGGGGAATAAAAGGGGACATCTGTAATACTTTCAACAATAAAGATAAAATTAAAAAAAATAATAATAACAAAAGGGCTAGTACTCAACAGCAGCTCTGGAATCAGAAAAGATTCAGACTCTGCCCATTCCCAGGAGAGATCTTCCTCTTACATTCCTTAGGAAAACTGAAGAAAAACAAAAGTTGCAAGCAGGGAAAGAGAAATAGGGAGACACATGTCAGAGATTTAGTTATTTCACCCCATGTGTGCTTTCTTGATTATATGATAGCTTTTATGTCCAGCCCCCAAAACAGCATGCATTATGACCTCTATGTTGCCTCCAAATTTGCCTATGTATAATTTCATATGATGTTATGATAAGTTTATGAAGAGAAACACTTCTGAGAGATAATCCTATGTTAATCATTTCAGTTATTTCCATGGAGGTGACATGGATGTTGTTCTTTGAATGTATTGCTGGAGTCTCTGGTTACCACAATCACCCCTGTTGTGTGACCAAGCATCCTGAGTATGCCAACCCTTTGTGGTCAGGGAGCAAGGCAATCATAGTTATTGCTTCATAGTAATGAAGTCTTTTAACTTTATTAGAGGAGAACAATTTTGTACTGAACCAGAATGAGTTCAGTTTACAATTAATTATGCTTAGTAATTAATTCATGTATATTTTACACATTTTCCCTAAAATATATTCTACTAAATTATAAAATATATTCTACTAGATTCTACTATTAAAAATATAGTTTGTGTCCTTCAGGTATCACCTCTTTATAACATGCCTCCTGGTGTTAGAAAAAGCACTGTAAATGGAAGAGGAAGTCTCCTCACTTAATTTGATACATCAGGTCATCAAAACATGTATTTTCTAATCCTCTTATATAGAAGGTGACAAAAGATAAGAATGCAATTAGAAAACAATAAAGGATGAAAATATATACAATAAAATGCAAAATAAATAAAGCTTAGTGTGACTATTAAGATGTCTTGATACTCACTGCAGTCATAAAGTGTTGTTTTTCTTTTGAAGGACAGAAGAAACTTGACATCTACAGTGAAGCTATCTTACTGGTACATCTAGGAAATGATTTAAATGAAAGAATGATGAAAACAGTAAGTAATTTCTTCAAAACTTCCTAGAACCCCTTGCCTTTACCTATGGACAATGACATATGCAGAGAGTACTTTGCTACCATTTTCATCATATTTCTCTTTTTAAATTATTCTCTAGATTTCTTTTTAATTTAGGACTAGGTTTGTCTATAAAGTCAAGTAATTGAATACAACAATGGTCAAATCAAGATAGAATTTTATTTTGTTATATTTTTTGTATTAAGTCAAGAGGTAGGTAATCCAGAGTAGATAAGTCAGCCTCATAAAATACTCAGGGACGCAGAATCTAGCTGCTTTTTTTTTCTTCTATCTTTTTCAGCTGTGACTTCTGCTTTCTGGTTCTCAGTGTGGTTGTTTCAGTCTCAACCTTCCAAATCATGCTGCATTCCACACAGAAGAGAAGAGGAAGGCAGCTGTAAAAGAGCATGACTCTCCCTGTGAGAAAAATTCCAGAAACTCAGAAACAATATTTTCAATGATTTCTAATGGGCAAAATGTATGCATGTCTAACTATAAGAGGGGGCTGGGCTATTTAGTCTTTTAGCTCTGGCCCAGCTTAATATCAGGCATTACAATGATCAAGGAGGAAAGGGAGAAGAGATATTGAGGGACAACTTACACTCTCTAACATTCTAGGCTTTTAGTGCGCCAGAGAGTATATTATGTGATAAGAACAATGTATTTATGTAGAGTTTATAATTGTGAGAAAAAGTTCAGGCAATTGTGTACATTATGCTTCAGTCTCTGAGGGCAGGGCATGCAAGATTTATAAGAGATGGGTAAGCAGTTGTGCTGATTTTATCTAAAATTATGAGATTTAATCAGTATCTATCTATACAAGTTCAGATAAACTAAAACTGTAATAACTATAATAAAAAGTGGATTAAAACACATCAGCCCCCTTAATTTTCTACAAGTTATAATGTCTTGGAATAGTTTTCCCACCAATGCTTTGGATGAGGAGAATCTTGAAAAATAATTAAAAATTAGATGAAATTCAGATTTAAAGTGCATCTCACGTGAAAACAAAATAATTCTAGTTTTATACTATGCTTAAAAGGAAATAAATGTTACTAATAAAAATGTATCTTTTTGTTTATTTTTGTGAAGTTTCTTGTACATCAAACAAGCTATTCTGAGTATTCTGAATAACTGAATATAGATTAATAAAATGGTATAAGTTTAGTTGCTTAAAAGTACAGAGGCTTAAAAAAAGAGATAAAACTGAGCAAAATAGATTTGAGATTTATGTAAAACCAAAATGTTTTTAATGTTCCCTGGGTTGCTTTGCTTTATCTAGTCGCTCATGCTTATACTCATATCAAACGTTTATGGAGCACCTTTGATTAGCCAGGCTCTTTTCTAGGAACTGGGGACTGTAGCTTAAGAAGACATAGCATTTATAATCTGGCAGGAGGACATAACCTAAATAAGTAATTAACTGCTGTTGTAATTAATTGCAGAAGATATATGTAAGCTGCAAAGAGAGAATATGAAAATATATAACAATGTAAAAATTTTAGGAAAGAAAAAAAACACTGATTAGGAACAGCATGAAGTTGATTAAATGAGTATACTGTATTTATAATCATGGGCCCATAGCAGACTTTTTGTTTACGCTGAAGAAACTATATAAAAAGTGAAAATAATAAAGTAATGACATTTGCAATAGTGAAAAACTTGCAGCTGGCTTTCCCCAATCAGTTACATCAATTAAGATTTATTATGTCTATACTTACAAGAGATTTAGAAAGAAGAGAGACCAATCAGAGGAATAATCTTCTAAAATATATCCTCCTCCTTGATCAATAATTCCAAAACAACCTATTTGTTTAAACTTGCAGCATAGTCAAAAACATATTTTTTTCTCTTTGTATGACTTGATATAAATTTCTACATAAGTCTCCAAACAATATTTCACTTTGGTAGTCAGTGCAATAAGGAGGAATCCCTTCTTTGACAAATAGTTTATCAGGCATCAATCAAATGTATTCATAAGTGGAATAAAATAGTGACGGTCTTTAAAGAGAGAATGTAGGTAAAGAAGGGCTCTATAATATTTCATGGATTGCTAAGCTACCAGAGACAAAGGCTGAGATAACATCCAGGTTTGCCTTTATAACTAATCACAAATGTAATGTTTTGTTAAACTTGACCTCAAGCTATTTAAAATAAATGAATGGGATTTAAAAATTGTTACAAAATGGATTTCTCTTCTTTTGTATTACATGCAATCTAATTTTTTGTTTGTTTTTCTTCTATTTTTCAAAATTATTTGTCATTACTGCTAGACTTCATCATGTTTACACAGCAAGATAATAATGTTAATACGAATATCTCTGGGCTGACTTGCCTGCTTTTACTTTATAGACTGGGGTATTTTAGACATGGAAGTCAATTGTAATTATTGATGTTTCCATATTTGACACAAATAAAGATTCATATAATGACATAGTGAGCAAAATAGAAAAGAGATTGAACCCTGGACATGAAACAAGAGTCTGAGAGGAAACAGAAGAATCCTGAGTTACAAAAGAAATTAGACAATTTACTCAAAGTCCAAAAAGATGCCATTTGTAGTCTTGGACTATGAATGTGGTGTGTGCAGAAAGGAGAAAAAGGTGGTATAGATATATAAAAGTAGCCACATAGGAGCATAAATACAAGCCACAAACTCCAAGGAGTACCATTCACATAGACCATGATTTGAGGCAGCTCCTTACATTGAGATTTCTGAGAAGCAAGAAGGGAGTGCAACAAAACAAGTAAAACAGATATTAAGTTTCCAAAGCACTAAGCACCATTTTTCCAACATAGATTCTAGTGAGGTACCTGAGTCAGACTTTATGTTGTCCATCTTAGTTTTATAACTAGGAGATAATTGAAATTTTCCATAATGGACAATGGTTTATCCTGGAGAACATTAAAGAATATAAATATGAATCTTTATCAAAAGCCCAGTTGCAAGAAATACAGTAAAAAGTTGAAGAAATCAGTTCTGCCTATCTACATTTTACCAATCAGAGGTCTGTACACTGAAACTTCATTATTTGGCTCTTGGGTGAATATGGCTTTTATTACAGCACAAGCCAATATTTAAGGACATGACAAACAGCCAAAAGGAATTTCCTGCTCCCAATGGTGGAGACAGTTTAGTAGCTCTACGAAAAGAAAATTCCCAGGTTTAGATTCACAAAATGTCTTGCTACACATGAAAGGTTGCATTGCACTTATTTTATGGACAATGGGAAACTTAAAGCTCATTACATTCCTCTCATTGCAATGGCTTCTGGGAAGCTCAGTGCTACATTTATCACCAACCTCTAGCAAATGCAGAGGCCAGAAGAAATCCATTTCCACATTCAGTCTAGCCTACAGTTTTACTAATATCTTCTCTATTTTTCCTTTGCTTCAGTTTTCTCAACCATTGTTTTCAACACCTTTTGCATTGTATTTTTGTAAACTATTCAAATACAATTATTGATCAAGGTGAAATATAAATAAATCCATGATGAAAAGGTGTAGGACTTCTCTATAAATAGCCTAAATGCAATAAAGTTCAAAATCAAAAGATTAAGGTCCATTGGAAGGAAAAGATCATCATTTGTCTCATTTAATATGTTAAATGTTTTCTCCCATTTATACATGTTATAATAATAAATTAAACATACATCTTATCACATTTCTAAAATGCAAAGCACTCTAAAAGTTTTTCTGTTTTGCAACTAGTTTGGTGCAAAACAATACCTGAATTGACATGATCTCAGGCAGTGTGAATATGCTTAAGTTTATCTGAGCAATTGCAGGGTGCTGTATCAGGTCCTGTGCTATGGAATATATGGTATATCATGCTATTTCCTGTACAAAATTGGAAAAATTATAACTTCTAATACAAATAATTTTTAATAAGAAATGTTATTTGTGAAGTTTCTGAAGACTACTCTTGTCACATGTCTAAAACAATTTGGAGTGTTAACCTTCCTTTTTTGAACATTCAGTGATACTTTATTTTTAACTCTTTTGTGCAAATGTCATTTAATTTTTTCATTCTACAACTCAATAGTGGGCTGCTTGAAGGCAAAATAGAAATGCATTGTTGCTGTATAACTTAATTTTAATTTTTCATTTCAAAAACAAAATACTTAAAATTAAAGCCTCTTGGTTTCTTACTCATCTTTGTATCTTGCATATGTTTTAACCTAAATTCATACTTGATGAATCAAATTGGACTCTTAATAGTTAATGCATTAAGCATATCTCAATCATCATGTTAATTGCTACTTCCCTTTATGGGGGTGGTAGGAGAGATGAGGGATGAACTATGAACTATATTATCCAGGTCACTAAAGGAGTTTTTAAAAATTTCTCCTATTTAAGTTAAAAGTGAAAAATTAATTTGCTCTAAAACGGAAACTCAGGTCCCACATTGCCTTATTCAGAAGTGTTTTAAAGATATAAAAGAAAAATCTGTTTTCAAGAACTTTCTAGTTCCTCCTTTCTAGTAGTCAATCCAATTCAAGTGCAATTTAATAAGTTAATTGCAATATGTGATTGACAGAGACAGGGGACAATGTTTGATATATCATAAAAATTATGATAATAACTAAGGATCCTATTATTTCATTAAGGACTCTGTCTTGGCTGATGCACAGCAAGACTCTCAGAGTCTACCTAAGAAATGATTGTGATCAAGCCTGTACTGGTCTATTATATCAGCAAGCCAGAAATGGAGGGAATGTTGATCAATATCAATTTGAATTTTAACTTTTGTGAGCCTAAAGGTATAAGATGAAGAAAATATCACATGTAAATCTGGTTGAATCTATCATTTATCCTACCAGATGTGTTTAAGAACTGAATTATAAGCAGGTAATAGCAATCATGAAATTCACTAGAATATATAAAAAAATTAAAAAGCAGTTTCTGTGATAAAAAAAAATAAGCAAAATAAGGGGCAGGGAGAA